CAGCACGGGGAGCTGGTGGCCAGGCTGATGGGCGGGCGCAGCTGCTGTGGGTGCCACCACTGTCCTCAGCGCCCCGGTCCAGCTCTGAGACTAGTGTCCGCTGCAGAGCCTGAGCCCCTGGGCGGCACCCAGAGCCTGCTGCCGACTTTAGGGGCTGGCGTGGGTGTCTTCCACACATGCTTTTTGAGCGCCTCAGTTACCAGACAAGCACTCACAGCTCCGAGTTGTGTGAGAGGAGCGTCGGACACCATTTCATCCCAATAAAGTACTCGCAGTCCCTTGAATTGCATCCCACCTGGGTCAGCCCTTCCTGCCTTTGAACTTACACAGTTCAAGAATTGGGTACCAGAGGGCATGTGATCCCAGACTGGCCATGCTGTGACCTGAGATCCGGGATGCTCCTAAAATAACATCAGTCTGTCCCCACATAAACAGTTGTTGGATGCTCTGAAGAGTAATTGGTAGAACAGTAGGGGATTAGGGCAGCTACAGAATGTCAGCCAGGCTGACAAAAGAGGTTCACACGCTGTCACTCTGCCAAGAAGTTTGGATAATTATCTCTGTCTTCATTAGAGTAGTGGCAATTAAGAGGAGATTTCGTCTTGTTATCTAGAATATTTCCCTTCACAATATGTGGTTCTGGTATAATTACCTTTACTATATATATTGCTTAATACAGTTAATGTGTTATGAGTGTTGGAAGGTAAGTTCTTTAGCTATAGTGGCATAACTAAAGCAAAATAATTTCAGCATTTAGGGTAACTGTTAGACAAATATAAGTAAGAAATTAATCTCTTTGTGCTATCCTGCCTACCTTACACACCCCAAATCTGCCAAGTTTTTAGTAAGGTTTTAGAGCACACTAGAGATATAAAATTGGGTGCTGGAAAAAGAGAATGAGGTATTTTGGTTAGGGAGAAGGATTTGGAATTAACTGCTTTCTGAACCCATGACTTCTGGCATGGCTCGAAGAAAAAAAATGCCTTACCTTTTCTGTGCCTCTGCTTCCCCAGAGTAATAAGAGAATAATGATACCTGGCTTCTCCCTTGTACATTATTTAAATCTGTGCAAAAGCTCTATGCTCTAAGCACCTGGGGTGCGGGTTCCAGCTAAGCTAAGCTCTATTTGTATTTAATTGAATCTTAAAAAAACCCTTTCATGAATGTAGATTTAATACAGAGATTATATTATCCAGTATTAAATTGTGCACTGAGTTGTTTTTTTTTTAATATTTGATCCCCATATTAATCGTATTTTCTGGGACACTGTCTTAGCATGAAGTGGCACAGTAAGATTTCCCAAAGCACAGCCTGGGGATAAATTAATTCCTTGTCCTAAAATGCAGCTGCAGCTGTGCTTTCCCTGTAGACTCCCGGCAGAAGTAAATAACTCTAAATTTTTTTGTTACTGAACTCATCTGGTCACTGAGTTTTACTCTTTGTAAAAGCTCAGAAATCTACCCGATCATTTCACTGTGACGTTGCTATCAGAGTCCCTGTTCCAGTGCTTTGTGCCTACACTATCCTTTTCATCAAAAAACCTCGCAAAAGTGGTAAATGTTTTCTGTTATCATTCTACAGATGGAAAACCAGACGAATAGCACGATTGGCTCCCTGTTGCATAGCAGAGCTAAGAGTGCAGTCCAGCTCCTGTGGTTCCTAGTCCAGTGATTGCTTCATTAACCACACTGTGTTCATATTTTGCAACTATACCATTATTAAATGTATTTATACGATTTCTAATTGTGAACATGGCTCAAGGAGTCTCTGGGCTGAGGAGACCCAGCTTAACAGAATAGGCTACTGTTTCTACATTTGAAAAGTAACTGAAATGGAAAATAAGGAAGCATAAATCTGCATTTGGAGGTTTTCAAATGCCTGCATGTGGTACTGAAATGAAAAGGGTTTACTGCTCTGTCTCTGGAAATACTTATCAGCTATGCCAGTGTTCAGCAAAATCTTTGAGAAAGAGAAAAAAGGGTTAAAGGAGAAGGAGCGGAGGCAGCATAGCTCAGCACAAGCTTCTAGTACTGAACTGGAGGAATGTCTCTTGGGACAGAAAACTCTCGCTACTACAGAGATTTCTCAGAACAGAAACCGAACTTAATGTCTCTCAGAGTCCTACCCCTACAGACGAGTAATGAGAAGGGAATCTGTAACTTGGAATTCTGCTGGTGAGGGTAGTTTTCTCTGTGCTGGCTTTGCCATGCTCCAGTGGGTTCACACGCTGCTCGGTGAAACCATTTATGTCGTAGAAATAGGACACCGCTTCCTGTTCATCCCTGTGAGCCTTTAGCTCTCGCATCTGGTCCAGCAAACTTCTGGCAGTTGTATCAAATGACGTATAAACAATTTGTTGCTTTCTTGGGGTAGCGGCCTGAAAATTAATTGGTGATTTATTTAATGTGAGATGTCTGAGAATTCAGGCTGAAATAATTGCATAGCAGTCAGGCTCTTTTCTTTCTTTCCCTCTTTTATCATTATCATATGCTTTCTCCTCAGCTTTCAGGTACTAGAATTTGATCTTTGTCTTTACATTCCTCTCTGGCAAGCCCACGTTTGCCCCCCTCTTCATTGGCAGTATGCTCTTCACCTTCTCAGAAATCATGAGCTCAGAGCTATCTAATAAAGGTGCCATGGTTTTCTGCATGCCATCATATGGCTAGAAACTTTAACGGCTTTAACATATTATTCCCTGAGGAGATACATATTTTACTTATTTTTTTGCACCCTCTGACTTGACAGGACACAAGGAACTGGAGTGTGCTGGAGGAGCTGGATTAGGAATGCACTTCATATGTGTAAAACTCTGCCTTTAAAAACCGCACAAATGCAGGGTTCATATTCTTTTATCAGGCACTTCCTTTGTCTCTCTGTGTGAATGTCTAACAAAATACAATTAGAGCTGACCTTCTGTTGACTGTTCTCAATCTCTCCTCTCTTTTTATTCTGATGCAGGTAAAGTATTTTAGGAATTTCCTTGGAAGCATCATCTTTCTTCCTAACTTGGAGTCTTACACTTATTTTTTACTTTTGCTGCCTTTGTCAGGCCTATCTATGACTCCAGCTCCTAGATCCTTCCTCTCTAAGACCAGACAGAGTATTAGTTTGAATACACTAAGAAGATGCATCTGGTACATCCATTGAAAAAAAATCATTGTTCCAAAAGAAGCCTGCTCAAGCCAAGAAAATGTGCTTTCAGTTTTTCCTGGTATTTTCTGATGTTAATATCGGATGGCCAGGATTCACATTTAAGCACTGTCGCCAGAGCCTATACAAATTCCTACTTAAGCAAAAGTGTTAAGATGAAGTGTAGCATTTAATCATTACAATGAAGAAACCAGAGCTTCCACATAAAAATCATATTCCAGTGGTACTACAGAGAAACTTCTGACAGAGAACTTCAGGATTTAGCTTTGTCATAATTTTAAGGGACTGGAAATGGAAGGGAAGTTTGGGAGGAGAATGTAAATGAAAGTTATGGTAGAATTAAATCCACATTGTGTATGTATGAAAAAGTCTGGAAAACACCTCAGGAATGCAGTAGGAAATTGGAGCAGCCATTGACAGGGAATAATAACATTCAGCCTAATTTTGG